TGGTCGCCGTAGTACAGCGCCCAGGGACCCATCTCCAGATGTTGATGCTCGGCTTGGTCAGGACTACCACAGCTGGAGGATTTACCTATTGTGGTGGTCAGGCCAGCAAGAGTTGCTGCTGATATATGAAGAAAATGCGACTCTTCCGAGTATTTCTTTGCTTTTTTGGATATTTCATGACACTTTGAAGCTACTGTGGTGAACGTTCTAACTCAACATTCTAACAATATGCACAAGGCAGCAGAGGTGGGACAAAGTCATTGTTTAGCAAGTCACAAGTCAGTCTCAATTCATTGCCCTCAAGTCCCGAGTCAAGTCACGAGTCAAGACAGGCAAGTCCCGAGTCGAGTCCAAGTCAAAGGCCAACAAATTTCAAGTCAGTCCCAAGTCCTACGGTTTGACTTTCGAGTCCTCTCGAGTCTTTTTGACCGGGATTTGTTTCTTGTTGGTCTCCACGTACTTTTGTAGGCAAACAAAATAATGTTAGGAATCATTTTGCTGGTGCATTCTCGTTGGTCTCTGACCCATGGACCAGTTTGTTCCATGTCGTTTGCTGCTGGTAAATCAAAACTATCTACGTGATCTAATTGGATGTTGTGCCAGATGCAGGCTCAGTTACACATGCACAGACCACACATAAAATCAGAGCAGTCCGTGTCAACATACTTTTTATCTTTGGGGTTTTTAATGGGAAGTAGCAAGTGCAGCATATATGAATATGAGTATTGGGCTAGGACCTGTATCTATAGTCCGTAGTGGTTATTGTTCCAAATGTCCTACTGTAGGATAGGGGTAGTATGAGGGGTCTAGGCTTTGGACCTGGGGCAGCTCGCCATCAAAAAAAAAGGAAGGGGGGGGGCAAAGGACTGAAGGGACCAATGGAGTGGAAGGAACCTGGCCTGTATGAACTGGACCAGCATTAGTAATATCTCATAATTACCAATATATCATTACATAATAAAATGTCTCATATAAATTAATTCAATCAGTCAAAGCACTGATTCTCATATCAATGCACCATAAACAATAGTGCGAATATTAATCTAGCTTAGTGCACATAATCAAAACAACTATCTAATGCAGTGTCTCCCAAAGTGGGGCCGCGGCCCCCTGGTGGGCCGCGAGGGTACTGCAGGGGGGCCGCGGGAGGTCATAAAAAAAATAAAAAAATAATATAATTATTTAATGTTAAATTTATAATGTTTTGTTTGTAATATTAAAATATTTGTGTTCATTATTTGACTTGAATAATCCACTGTAATCATTTTTGTATTACAATGTTTGTAGCAGAGGCTATTTCCCCAAAATAAAATAACCAGAAGAGCCTATTCTTAATGTTGTCTTCTTGGTTATTATTTTGGGGGGGCCACGCAGACCCGACAGATTTTTAAGGGGGCCTCGGTGTTACTGACTTTGGGAATGGCTGATCTAATGTATGCAAACTTTAGCAGGAGGAGCACAGCAAAAACATACTCATAATAATAGGCCTCGGCGCCCACACAGAAAATATAAGAAAGAGCTAACAGAGCAGCGCAGGCTAGCGCTAGTTTGACTCACCAGTTCCTCTTTAAAACACGGCACACAGTGTGACAACTGCGTCGATTCAATTGTATGAGGCGCCTGTAGTGAAAGCATATCAATTACGGTTTGTAGAACAAAATATGACGTTAGGTCGCAATAAATACCTGCAGCTCGCTCATTTCCAGCTCCCCTACGACAACACACCCACCGGTGAATGCAGTGCGCTTGTTTAGGGAAGTGTTGCTGCGCGAACTGCGGGGAACTCACGTTCGAACTCTCTCGCGAGCGCTACAACTACCGCGAGGCTTTGTTTCTTCAGAGACGGCATAGATAGAAAGAGAGATGCGGAGAAAGGTAAAAATGGCCCGGGTTACGCAAGTCTTTACAAGTCAATTGGCGCAAGTCCAAGTGAAAGTCAGAGTCATTGATGTTAAAGTCCAAGTCGAGTCGCAAGTCTTTTTATATTTGGTCAAGTCGAGTCTAAAGTCATCAAAATCATGACTCGAGTCTGACTCGAGTCCAAGTCACATGACTCGAGTCCACACCTCTGCAAGGCAGAATTTTTCCACTACATGTTTTGGTAATATCAAGGTTGAAGCTACTGGCACAGCGGTAAATGCTAATATGCTAATAAGTCTCCATTCCTCCGCTGTATGTCACTTACATTCTGTAACGTCTTTGTTTATGCTGCCTCTACCATCAACAATAAAAAATGTCTTCTGTCTGAATTAAAGACAAGATCCTAGACTGTCTTTTTATTCAATTTAGATTCTAATCCACAGCTAGTGTTACAATCAAGCTTTTGCACTGCTAAACAAATGAAGGTTTGGATAAACATGGATGCTGCAACTTTTCCGTCTGTGTGTGGGTTTAAGAACTCAGAGTTGAGGTCCTGAAGGACAAATCCTGCATTGTACAGAGCCGTGTAAGTAAGGATTGGTATGAACTTCTCATTCTCAACAAAATAATGCGTCTGTGGCTGTGTTCTTTTCAGGTCAAACATTCACAGTGTTTATTTAAAACGCCAACTCATACCTGACAATGAATTAAATAAAGATGGGGATGTAATAACTGTGCATTGTGACTGCATGGCTGGGTAAATAAATAATCCTTAGAGGTAAAAGCGTCTGCTAGTGAAATGTTAGCGAGCCACTTTTCCTGCGTCTTTTCGTAAAGTCCTTAGTGCGAGGCTCTTTATTCATCTCTTCACAAGGAATCCTAAAGTATCCATTAAAGGTTTCACGATTCGATCGGTTAGGAAACTTAAAACAACACATGCAAAAGGTATATTCAGACACGCTGCTCTAGTAAACAACTAGCTCGGCTGACTACCAGTCCGTGATACGCATATGTAATGAGGCGGACGTGACGTCAATTGCAAGCAAGCAATTGTACATGTTGTTTTTAGTAGGGAGAAACCTATACACACAAACTCCACTCAGAAAGACCCTGTTCCAACCGGGATTCAAACCCAGGACCTTCTTGCTGAGGAGCAAAAGTGCTGTCCACTCAGCCACCTTGCCGAATGTGTCCTGTATTAATATTCCACAGATACCTTTTTGCCTTTTTTCCCCGCACAGCACCTCCACCTGCAGCTGTGTATTGTCATCTGTACTTATTTTGGACACACCATAGAGTTCAAGCCAAGTCGAGATACAAAGAGTCTTTTTTATATTCTTGTTCTGACTCCAGTTTTTGTTAAGACAGTTACTCTTGAAAAGATTTCCCTGTGGTTCCAACATTTCAAGGCAGTGTCAGTCAAAGAGTGAGCAAACACGCATGATGAAATGTTTTTCTCGCTTTTTGCGCTCAACTCATCACAAAAAGTTTCTTTTACTTGTTCACTTGACTGTAGCGGCCGCTGCATCTGTACACAATGCTTTGAGGAATGACAGTGGCAGATGAGGAGAAAACAACTTTATCGCAGTGAATTATTATGTAATCTGAGCTTTGGCTCTAAGCCTGTGCAGGGATTTATGCAAAGGTCATTGTTAAAGATAAGTGTTTTCCCCTAGACCAGATTCTCTTTCAGGAAAACACACTTGATACATAAGCCTTTCTTGTACTGAGTGCTTGTAGATGTCACCATTCTCACTTTGAAGCTTGATGTGTTACAAATATAGTCAATTTTTGTATTAAAAAGTGCTACATGCCACAAACACCTTCATTCTCAAGCAGGACATTCTCTGTAAACCTTTTTATAACGTACTGTATATTGTATCAATAAAAGACAGAGAAAATCAACAATGACCTGATTGTAGTACCAAAAGAATGTGTGGGTGCGTTTTATCCAGTATGTATCGTCTCGTTGTTTTGGAATGCTTAAGGTCTGCTTGAGAAATATTTTTTCTTATAAGATAAGTTTACTTCTTTGAGACAAATCACAATTGACCATGTCTATTAAGATGAGATAAGATGAAAAACTATATTCTCCCCAAGGGAAATTTACTGTGGGATACAGTGCTACACTTATATCTGCATGAAAGAAATACAAAAAAGGAATATTTAAGTAAATAAACAGCAAAGTGCAGTAAAGCTTTGAAGCGTCTGTTTATTCCATTTTCAGATCAAATATAATAAATTGGTCCTGGATAAAAATGTAAATAGTTCATTCAGTTTTAGGATATATTATTAATTCATTAATAAAAAAAAGGGCTACTGGAGTTTATTTGTTTATTTATTTGATATGGACACAACAGTTGTATTGGACAGACCAGATGCACTGCCTTTAGTGTTAGAGCAAGACCATGCTAATTTTCAACACTTGTCCATAGAAGGCTTTTAGGACACAAATGCAGACATTTAAAATTTGCATAATATAATAGTAATTAAATATACAGTTCATTAATCATGTGAACAACGTTGCTCAGATTTCAGCCACAGTTTCAGACGTCTGACGAAGATGTTTAAGTCTGTTTGTAGTTTTAGGTCAGTGGGAAGAGCGTTCCACAGTTTGACTCCATTGAAGGAAAAGCTGGACTGTCCCAACGATGTTCTGAACAGAGAGCCTTGACGTCTGACAGCCAGACCAGAGAACAGCTGTGGAACATGATCAGTTAAACATTTAAAAACTAATTTCAGTGTGCAAAAGCTTACAAAATGTTCATACTGTATGTAAAAAGTTTGTGTTTTTTAATGATGTCGTAATGATGCCACCTCAAAGGTTTCCTGTCGTAGACCTTGGTTGCCTGGTTGTACAGGGATATGACTGGCTTTAGAGTAGTCTGTGAAGTTTGTGACCACGAGGTGAGGCAACAGGAGAGATGTGAAAATATCATTCCATGTAAATACAAAAGAGCAACCTGATAATTTGGGACAAAGGAAAGCTTGAAGCAGTTTGTCTAACTTTGTCTAACGTGGTCTGCCTCTAGATCTGTTGGAAGTTCTCTTGCAAAAATTACTACTGTTGATTCATTTGTACATCAACTCCTTACAGCTTGTTCACGTTAAATTGTCATTATACATTTTAACTGAGGTCTATGAGCAAATCACGCCTGAACTTCTGTCCATGTAACTCCCACAAGCCACTGAAGGTATCTACATGCATCCATCACATGAAACATCCACTTCTCTCTCCCCGTCCCTCTCCTTCTTATATACCTTCATTCTGGAGGAGGGTCTTGATACACTGGTCCCTCACTGTCTCACCCCAGGCCCCAATATCATCATATTTAATTCAAGTTTTTCCTCTATTTGTTGCGGCGTGAATGGGGCTCATGACATGAATTGTGTGTGTCTGTAGATGTGGTTCACACTGTGGGGCCGATCGCACAAGGACGAGTGACAGCGGCGGAACAGGGGGCTCTGAGGTCGTGCTACAAGAACAGCCTGCAGACCGCCACCAGCAGCGGAGCGCGCTCTGTGGTGAGGACTCAGGAGCATGTGGGGCTGCTGCACTCAGACCAGAGACAGTTCGATCTTCCATAAATGTCTGAGTGTGCTTTTGAGTTGAACAGAGGCCTGAAACTTTCCATGGTATTAAACCAATTCACTTATTATATTTATGGCTGAATAACGAGCCTGCAGATCTGTATCCATGGAGACATAATTATAATTTGTTCACAAACAAAGTGGAAGATACAGGGAAACACAACAAAAGGTTATAGTGGAAACCTATCACTGTTAAAACACACAGCTAATAAAAAATAGATGGAAAACATGTGGTAGCATCATTGCAGAACATTTTAAAGACATTGTTTAGTCTGCACTTTGGTGTGAACATGTTTTTAGTTTTTGAAATAACTAAAAAATCTTTATAGCTTTTGTGAACTATAGATTATTACATAATACTGTGATGCAGACGAAAAGACTCAACTCAATTAACTTTAACAAGCTAAAAATGTATAGTGAAGTTCAATTACTTTCTAATTTTTGAAGATGGAGAGACCACAAGCTTCAGTTAGACCCTTCCCCAAGGGTCCCTGGTTGGACACTATGAGCTATTTTCCTCCAGCAAATCTCACTGGTGATGCTTATTCCAAGGGGAGGGACTGTTTTTATTACATACAAAATACTTGCTACTTATGATAAAAAGGTTTATATATTTTGACTTTGTAGTGATCACAGTTTCAGGATGACTTTTTTTGTAGGTTTTGTGGGTAGAGGGTCTGTCAGCAGAGACAACCTTCCAATTGATCCTATAACATCCTAGAATCCACAGTGATGGAAATCAAAAGTGCCATGCTGACCACTCATACAGCCAATAATTCACTTTAAAATAAAATACACAAAACGTTTAAAAAAAAATCTCATAAAAAGCTGTATACTACACCTTCAATGATACTACAGGTCCTGGTCAAAAGATACGTTCTTTTCAAAATGAAAAACAATTGCAGACGTCACCTTTAAAGGAACTGAAATAGATTACGAGAGGATGTATAAGATAAGATAAGAGATCCTTTATTTGTCCCACAGTGGGTAAATTTCAATACCTATTCCTATGTTGCAGTCAGCGGAAAGGTTAAACGTGTGAATTAAGTTTCTGAACAAAGCCACAGCCGGTGTCATTTAGACGTGGATCCGTGAGTGGCCTTGATTACAATAGCACCTTTTAAAAAACACCTGAAGTCACAGCGAGATATGTTCATTGGTGTGTGTCCAAGGATCAAAACAACCACTTAAAGCGATAGTCTGGAACTCTAAATGAATTACACATTTTAAGAATTGTATTAAATTGACCTCCTGGCTTTAAATGTCGATATAAAATAAGTCATTTTATGAATTCTAATATTACAGGTAAGTCCCGCCTTCCCTTCTCTTAGCTATAGCTCAAAATCCACGATGCCGTCCACTTTAACCAATCAAGTGATGCTAAGGGCTGTCAATCATCGGCGCTGATGCTCGCAGCTGCTCATTCTCAGTTGTTTGTTTTCACGGAGCCTTCGAATCAAGCCTCCATTAGGCTCTGAAACTACATGATAACTGAACAAAGAATTCTGAACATCTGTGCTGAGTTACCCATTTATATATGAACTGATAGTATTAGATAGCAATATGGCCTACGTGCAGGACTGTACAAGGACTCTACAAGGACTCCATGTTATGACTATGATGTGACTGTCTCTTTGTGACACGTATGTCTTTCGATGTGTGACGTGACAATGACTATATAAACTGTGTACTGCCTTTATTCTGTCTGAGGGAAAGAAACAGAGTAAACTAGTGGAACTTGAGAGAAACTTAAATAAACTTCCAGAGTTTGGCACACCACGATCCGTCTCTGTCTGCTAAATCCTTACAGATTTGGTGGAGAATGCGCGGCTCGGTTTGTGCCATTCTCTGGATTGTTTTGAGAGAATTTCCTCTGTTTCTTTTTTTCGGCGTGTGGGAGCAACAGCACGTTATCTGGAAGGGGAGAAATCCCAGCGGACGCTGAAAGGGCTCGCTTTTGGATGGGCTTGCTCTTGCTCCCTCACTTTCTCTGTTTTGTGTTTAAATTGAATTTTCCGACGCGGAAAAGAGTTGGCAGACCTCTCGGACAGTCCTTGGAACCGGTTTGACAAGAATAAGGTAAGCAGACACCTTTTTTAATATGTAAAGTCTGCATAATTGGATATTAGCTAAATTTTGGTGTGTTTTTTGGGGTCTGTCAAACTCTCTAAATTGTATTTTGAGAAAGTCTCGGGGTTAAAGTCCCTTTGAGCCTCGGGGTTAAAGTCCCTTTGAGAAAGTCTCGGGGTTAAAGTCCCTTTGAGAAAAGCCTCGGGGTTAAAGTCCCTTTGAGAAGAAGCTTCAGGGTTAAAGTCCCTTTGAGAGAAACCATGGTGAATTAAAAGTAATTATAAAAAGGGAAACGTTAAACACTAAAGAGTGCCTTTTGTTACTAGTGTGGAAAGTGATCATTTCTAGATTTGGATGACAAAAGTATAAAGAACAACATAAGTTATATTCGCTTAACAAAGTAATCTTGAAAGTTATTCTTCTGTATCTTTCTGCCTGTGTGTGCTCTATCTGCTGCCGTTGTCAGGGAAACGGCCCCCTCCTTCGCTGCTCTGGCTGTGAATCTGAAGCAAAGCTACTGCTTTAGGAATTTGGCTTTTCATAGTAGTTATTCCGTTAAATTTGCTAAATTTGCCATTTGAACATTGTGTTAGACACAGTTAAACGTTTTTAAACACCATTAGGGAATAGAAGTTTTGAATTAGTATGTTTTTGAAACCCAAAGATTAGTACAAAAAGCTTTGCTTTTCTTTTTAAATCTGCTGCTTATTTTGTGAGTCCATTATTGTATCTCTGATATATTTCATAGCTGTTTGTGAGAATTTTTTCATGTATTTTTTATTTTAGTTACAAAAGCCGTTTTTCAAACATTTAAATTAGAATCTGTTAAAAGTGATTAATGATTGTAGACTTCGTCTAAAAAAGAAAGAGGGAATTAGGCTGTAAAAGTATTATATTATTAAGTTAAACTACCCAATTCACCCAATTCACATTCAAGTGGTGACTTTTGTTTTTGTTTTGACTATGCACCTGACCTTCCTCCTGCTGCAGATGCACGCAGCACAGGAGACTGGTCTAAAATGTGCTCCAATTCATACTGACTTCATTTGAAAAATGCTGCAATTATTTTAAATTAGTAAAATAGATGCTGAGATAAATAAGTGTAAAAGGGAAAGTCCATAAAGTGAAACCCAAGATGTTCAAGATTAAAAACATCACACAGTACAAAAGTATATAATACATGTTTTAAAGTTTAAAAGGTTGTTTGTTTTGAGTATAATTGTTGTTTTGATAACTTCTTTAGTTTCTGGTTTTAAAATGTCATCATTAGTAAGAGAATAAGTAATCTTTATTTACATAGCGCTTGGGAAAGCCAAGAGCGCTCAAATTGTTTTGACTTCAGAGAGAAAAACAATCTCATTCGCATACTGATATCTATTGTTTTTTTAAATTGGCTGTTTCAAGGATTGTTTTTCAGACTCTGGCACACTGTGGGAGGGGTCACTGCTGGACACTGGACAGCGCAAAGCCCACCCAGCCACAGGTCACAGATCAAAGAGCAAAGGAAAATGCCACCTCCTTGCCCCTCCCCACGCCACTGCAGAACTGAGTGGGTGTGAGAGAGACCGGGGCCATGAAAGAGAGGTATCTGGAGACGTGATGGGTGGAGCGTCAGGTAGAGACCTAGAGGGAGTTGAAAGTGTGTCCAGTTGGTTTGCATCACCACAGTGTGACCTTTGAGACCTACAGGTGGTTCGTGGAGTCTGGAGAGACAACCCCAAAATTCACATACACACACACACACACATACACACTCATACACTCACACATTCACATTTACATATAGATACATGAAAAAGCAGAACATGAGAAAAAAGCATTTTAAAAGTTTACTCCAATGTAAACACATATTTTTAATTGTCTATCACTTGAATCAGTATTTTTGAGACCAGAAATGTTCATTTGAATTCTATATTGTCATGGACATAATTGACCTCTGTCCTGACACTTTTGATTTGTTGATTTTGTACTGTGTGAAGTAATTACATTGATTAGAATTAGATCTGATAAAAACACAAATTAGAGAAGTAAACTGCGCTTGCTTTTGTCTAAGGGACATTAGCAACAGCATGAATAGAAATTGTGTTAAAGTAGAATCAAAGTGACTTAACCATAGAGAGTAACTACTGCATTACAAGCTGTGTACAGGAACTGAGACACTGCACCATTGACCAGAAGTGCATCGCAAATGACCTGATGTGCTTCAAGTGAAAAGACTGTATCTGGAGATCTGATGTCCAACTGGAGAGACCAGAACCATGGCTTGGACCCTACTGATGTCCAAGATGACCTGACCTGATGACGACTGAGACTCACCCTCAGGGGACCTGAGGACCTGAGGACCTGAGGACCTGAGAGAGAAAACTGGGGAGTGATGTTTATATTTTTGAAATCATACATTGATGAGTGCTAAATGAGAGAGATACTCATGATTCTTCTTTTGTTTTTGTTTGTCCCTAGCTTCTGGACATCTGATGATCTATTGGACACAGCCATTTGCAGAACAAGAACCAGCCAATGAAAACGTCTATTGCCGATGCTATTGCTACAACCAGAACCACAACTGTGACAAATGCAATATACATGTTAAGTATTCAGACATCTGACAGACAAAAACTTTGAAAATGATAAAGTATAAGTATTGTAGCGTTTTAGTAGATGTTAAATAGTAGTAAAAGAGTAGAATTGTCCTTCCTTTGTTGTTCATAAACACATTTCCACATAAGAGTTAAAATAGTGCCATACAATGTTATCCTTTTGATAGATCAGCTATAATATTAGAATCAGAGTTATGTTACAGCCATTAAAAGTGACAGAAGTCACAGATTAGAAATATGCCTTTGCTCAAGCTGCAGCCAAGCTTTTGAGTTAAAAAATAGAGTAGAAATAGAATTAGATAAAAGCATCAACCATAGATGCTTTAAAAAATAGAGAATATTTGTAGCCAGTGCTAATATCAAATGGTAAAGGGACCATTTCACAAGCATTTACTTCAAAAGTAGATAAAGTTAATTACAGTTTATGTACAGTTTTATTAGATACTTGCCAAATTCACTTGTGTTCACACATGAGTGAATGTTGACAATGCAAAAGTCCATATGAGTGTAGCCTAGATTAATGCCTAGATCAATGAGATAGATTACAACCAACAGAGATTCAAAAGCATTTAAAAGCATTTTGATGTATTTGTGTATAGCACAAAAACACAATAGTAGATATTTAGATATTGAGAAGTTTCCAGCACAAACACCATTGTAGAATAACTGACCCCAACCCCAAACCTGCTAAAATAGATTAGCTCTTGTAAGAATAATACTAATTTGATTAATGATGTACATTCATCCCAAACTGCCTGACAATAATATCTTTAGATAATAAAAAGTAATAAATCACTGACCACTATAGAAGTGTAAATGTTGACCGTTTGCCTTACTGTGTTCACAGTTTTATTCCTGAGAATGAGAATAGAGATGGAGCAAAATCCAACTGATAATAAGCCACTGATAATGAAAGTAAACCACAGAGAGATTTATTAGATTAAAATGTATGTTTAAGAATATGGCTCAATAGAAGCAAATATGCAAACATATTTGTAAATAGATTAGAATAGTTTTAAACTATAGTGAATAGTGAGAGTAAAGTACACAGTCTAAGATTGAAAAGTGATAATAATACAGTGAAATAAGTGAAGTGTAAACAATTAGCATTAGAATAAAAGCATAAAGTAATACAAGTGAAATTAGCTTCAAATTTGAGACTCAGCACGTTTTTGTCTGTGTTTTGACTGAATCTGCTGAGTTCTTGTGTGTCCAATAGTGTTTGTTTGTTTTTTATTTTTGATTTGTTTTTTTTTTTTGTTTTTGTTTGTTTGTTTTTTTCCCAGGATAGAGGATAAAATCCACTGATATTGATTTGATGATTATGAGTTTAATGCATACATTTTCTTTGTTTTTAATAATTTTTAAAAGTTTTTTTTAGATATTTTTTTTTTTTTTTTTCCACTTTATTGATTGATCAAATTGAGTGATCACATGTGATTATGTGATCAAAGGGGAGAGTGATAGTATTAGATAGCAATATGGCCTACGTGCAGGACTGTACAAGGACTCTACAAGGACTCCATGTTATGACTATGATGTGACTGTCTCTTTGTGACACGTATGTCTTTCGATGTGTGACGTGACAATGACTATATAAACTGTGTACTGCCTTTATTCTGTCTGAGGAAAAGAAACAGAGGAAACCAGTGGAACTTGAGAGAAACGTAAATAAACTTCCAGAGTTTGGCACACCACGATCCGTCTCTGTCTGCCTAAATCCTTACAGAACCTATATCCATAATCATTTATATACTGAACCTATATCCATAATCATTTATATACTGAACCTATATCCATAATCATTTATATATGAACCTATATCCATAATCATTTATATACTGAACCTATATCCATAATCATTTATATATGAACCTATATCCATAATCATTTATATACTGAACCTATATCCATAATCATTTATATACTGAACCTATATCCATAATCATTTATATACTGAACCTATATCAATAATCATTTATATACTGAACCTATATCCATAATCAGATTTGTCCTATAATGTTCAAATAATGATAATAGCTACTTTCAGGTTTACCACGATCGCTTTTTTGTGCATTAAAACATTATTTTTGTCAGGAAAACGTCAACAAATAATTCTGAAAACCTCTGTGCTTGTGTATTAATAATGTTTATGTATAATTTATTTTCCGATTAACATTTAAATGTGTTGATTGATTGTTACGGAAACGTAGGCGTAGACCAATCAGAAAAGAAGGGGGAGGGAGCTTGGGTTGTTTTTTTCAAATCTTCTACCTCTCCAGACAATCACTTGAAATGATCATTTTTCAGCCGTAAACCACTTTTCTTTATTCTTGTTTTTTTTTTTACTTTGCAGGCTTTCCCTTGCATCTCAACAGGAATCTACGGTCAGTGCCTGTTTACGCCCATTTAAGCCACAGAACAAACACACTTTTCCACTCGCTTGTATGAGAGAGATGTCGTTTTTATCTTGGCTCGAGTGTTTATTGCTGCCGCGGGGCTTTGAGCTCTAAGTGGCACAGTCCCTTTTTTGCTCTGGATTGTTCTGTTTTCATCATGTGCTTGTTGTGTCTTTCTGTCGCTGCTTGTATTAAACTGGTGTTGAGCCAGTGTGTGACACTTATCTGCTCCAGCCCAGAGGTGCTCCTCAGATTAAGGCCCAGGATTAAGAGCGCCCGATTACGATAGATTAGGTCAACAATTGTGTCATATTGAAAGTAATCCCTCTTCATGCAGGGAGGAGAAGGACACAAGGGTATCCGTTGGAGTGCTCCCCAGGGTGCACTTTGTGCTTTGGAACAGTATTTGACACATGTCCAAACTGAAAAAGGCCAACTTATTAACTGATTCAAGTGTGTCCTATTGTATGTGTCTCTTTACGAGTCTAACATGTAAACAGTTCATATTCATTACAATTTTACAATTATTCTGTTTACTTTGGGAGGGCTTTAAAATTCTGCTGGAGGCTTTAAATATTCTAATTTTCGGACTATAAAACTTTTTGTAGTTTTTTACGTGCCTTTTGTAGATTTTGTATATCCATGTAGCTAATATGTGATTTTTTTTTATTGTGGTAAAGTTGTCAGAGCAGAGTTTGTGGACTCAATCAAGTCAATATAACTCATTTAAATTGTAGTAGATAAAACATACTTGTTTATTGTAAAAATAGACGCCCAGAATGGGAGCTTACGGTTACGCTCTTAAACACCTTGTAGTTAAATCATGTGGTGACCAGTTGAAACAGTCTTTCTGCTACAGTACATTACAACATGAAAACCCGCGGCTGATAGTCAAGTGCGGCCAATATGTGGGATAAAAATTACTTTCTTTTAAGTTTTCTGGTGCGGCTTTTATACAGGTGCGCCTTATAGCACAGAAAGTATGGTATTTATATTGTTCCTAAGAGTTATGTTTAGTGTTGTCCAAAACTGCTGCATTTCATTCCACAGATTTTTGGATCACCCAACATTCTAAGAAGAAGACTAAGACTGAGAGCTTACACAAAGAAGAGATCTTGTTCCCACATTTTTACTTATGGGTCTACTGCCCTCCTTCCCTGCAGGCCAACTGTGAACGCATTACTTGAATTGTACAACAAAGCTAGTCTTTTAAAACATTGTGTATAGAAATAACGTAAATCCAGGTAGTAATGATATGTCTTCCATCATGCACTACAATTTGTATGAACCATATGGGTCTAAATCTTTGCAATCTAAATTCTCTGAGCGGAATTTTAGTGGTAAAAGAAAAATGCTTAGATTAATTTACAGCCTCCTTTGCTCAATTACAACCCTAATCATGTTTACTGTAATTGATGTATAATGGGCCATGTTGGATTCATTAACCACTCTGGCACAGCCATTTTGTTTCAGTTTGACAGCCTTTCAATAATATCAAAATTCTTCATTCCACTTCACTCTGAACCTGGTGTATTTAATCCTGCTGAAGGTTCCTGTGATCTATATACTTACTGCTTTTGGGTTACCTTGAAAAAATAACTACAGTATGTAATAAAATCCTTTAAGCTCAAACCTAAACATTTCATTAAGAGGGCCACTTTGTTTACCAGGCTTGTGGGCCGACAATCCAGGTTTTAAAATAGTTTTGACTCGTTTCATTCAGGTCTGAGCTATAAGTACAGTATATGACAAAGCTGAGTGACAAATGACCAACTCAATGGGCTACATTAATGCCATGAAATCATTTTTATGGTGCTAACTAAAATGTCAGCATGAGAATCAGCACCTCCAAATCAGAGGTCAAATCTGACCAGCACGGTCAGAAAAAGGTGCCTTCCCCCTGCAGGTGGGTTGAGTCAGTACACACAAATAAAGTCAACGGCTGAGTTCTAGCGGTTACATTGAGGTACAGTCTGCTCATGTGGCTTAGCTGAAGTTGGCTGGAACTTTTGTTCATGATCTCATTGACTAGGCAGGGGGCCACAATAAGGTTCCCAATTTCCCCCCGCTGAAGCTTGGACATGCTTGACGTAACTTTCTCCTAGCTCTCAAAATAGTTCCATCACTAATTTTCACATGCATGTGTTTTTTGCCTTTTTCTTGTGTGAAAAAAGTGAGTACCAGCCTTCTCCCAGCCAATCAGCTCTAAGTAATATTAAAATAAGGAGTGTTGTCGTCTGATTTGTTTGACCTTTAACAAAACTCTTTCTCTTGGAGACAAACAAAATGTATTTGTGAAACAAACCACAAAGGTTCTACTCCAGCTGTAAGTGGAAAATATTTGATTAATTTATAATGTCTTCTTTCAAACAAATGAGCTATTAAATGTGTGTCTCAAATCCAAACAATGTCCTTGAGAAATTTTACAACACCCCTACAAAAAAATAATAGGAGAGACCAGTGTTGCAGCAAAGAGGCAGTAGAAAAGAAAACCTTGTGAGGACGTGCGAGTGCATATTGTCGCCTCTTGTTTGATTTGTTGTGTGCTGTGGGTGCAGGATATCCGCCGGAACAGGCTGTGCACGAGGCATTAGCCACTGTGAGGGATTTTCTGGATGAGCATCATGAAAAGGTGTGTATTTCTGTGCACTTTTTTCCCCAACCATCTCCTAAAGGTATTGTCGCTCTCACACAGCTGCTGCTTTTTCTGCTTAGAGAGGATAAGGTTGTTGTATGGAAACCAACACGTGCACAAACCGACAATGCAACGCACGCTCACTCCTCGTTGGAGTTGCGGCTCACATGCTCGTGGCCAAATCTGTGTTTTAATTGGCTCCTTGCGGGACTAAGCCCAACTCGCACAAACACATGCTTGTCTCTGTGGTGAAAGCAAGCAGAGAAAAGACAAAATGATGGAATAGATGACTGGAGGGGACGCCGGCGCTGAGCAACAAAGAGGAAACTTTCCAATCAGACGTCTGCATCTTTAAAATTCTCCTCCTCGACTTTTAAGACCTCCACCCAGTCTTCCCGCCTTCTCCTCCTCAGTCTTTACTAAGCACACTCTGGACTCCCTCCCATCGTGCCTGTTGATAATGTTATTGTTAGCCTTGGTCTCATGAGCATATGCAGCAATACTAGGCGGATGATGCCATCAGCCATGCAGTGTTCAGCAAACAAATTGTACAAAATGCATCCCGTTGTAAAGGACGTGCCCACAAACACAGACAATTTTATTTACACACAAAATGTTCCTCTGTGCTTTAGAGAGGATTTATGCCCCCGGACCCCCAGCTGTTAACCTCATGGTCTGTTTGCTTGTTCAAATGCATGGAAGGCAATACTCAATGAATGTTTGTAACTTCTTGTGTGACCTTTGTCAGGAAAACAACTACATTCATTCTGTTCAAAGAATGAACCAAACATGTAAAATTGTCAAAAACATACAACATACATAAACCATCCCTAACTCTCCCTAATATTCCATAACCATAAACCATAAAAGAATATAAAAACAACAATAATCTGCTTTATATACTGTACCTTCATATTTTAAAACGGCTCCAACAAAACAATAGCCACAGATGCACTCTAAACAAACTGTAAACAAACAGATATTTTGGCTCCATACATAATTCTATATCTGAAGTAAATATGAATGTGTTTTGCCAAAATTAATGAAATGGTTACATAATTTATAATTTCTCACCCCTGGTCTGCATTTTTTGCAATACAGTGGTCCCTTGCTTTGTCGTGGTTCAGCATGAATGTAATCCCTGCGATAAACCAGGACCCACTGTACATATACAACTGTACGTACAAGGGTATGTCTATTGCCTCCAATCAGGTGGCTCTGGGGGCGGGTCTAACAGGCGCTTGCATTTAAAACACGCATTTTTGTCTAAACCGTTTGAAAAGTAATGAGCCTTTACTTTTGATAGAAAGGGAGCTGTTTTATTGTAAACCTGAAAAAGGAAAAATCCAGAGTGTGTTTATTGTGAGTTGTCGAACCTCTCATATCTCATATTTTTGGATCTTTGAAGCCCTGAAATACCCTCAGGGTGAAACTGAAATTAAAATGGTCATGTGCTGTGGATCAAACAATAAACTCACAAAGCTACCATGCCAACAATCTTCCTGATCAACAGTAATATAAATAATAATAATGTATTCCTGAAAATCAAATCAAATAAAATTGACCAAGCAGCGATATAGCCGGGACCTGTATCTTTTGCTTTGCTTAGGCTGAACCTTATCTTGAATACCAGTTTGCAAAATCTTCTATTACCTTATAAATACTCCAACCATTTCCTATATTCAGTACATTTTCCATCCATCTCCACAGGCACTTGCTTTAGCTGGCAGCAAAATAGTGAAAAAAGTTTGTATTACTAATCCAACATTTCCAAACCCAGCCAGCCCTGAGTAGGTTGCACATTTCCATGTTTTCTCTTTCCACATGCCTCACTTTCCTGATGAAACATAGTATTTTGCTGAAGCCAAGGCCGAGATGAGGGCAAACTGGCTGTCGTACATTTCTGTCTCTCACACACTGAGTGAGAACAACTGCTGGGCACTAAATAAAGCTGGATAATGACAAACAGGAAAATAAAACCCACTGTGGCGATATATTGTTGCACTGATTTTAGGATTTGGGTTTTAGTGTAGGAAGGCAGCAAGTTGCAGGACTGTTGTTGTTTTGCACTCTCGATTTAGCTTACATGAATTAATTGTACATCAATCTATGTCCTTTTCCATTTAAAGAGATAGTTACTTCTAAAGCACTTTGTCCCTGCTGCAATAATAGGCTCATCTCCTGATCATAATTGGACACTAATGGAGAGATACATTATGTGTTGTGCCTCTGTGTTACACACACAAAGACAAGACGGGCAAAACAATCAAACGCAATTAGTCTTTGTCCAATCCAGCCACTTTTCCCCTCTACATGCAAGTCCCTGAGCTGAGTCCATGGGATATAGAAATCCACAAAACCCCAATATGTCTAGATTAACATGTATTATACTTTGAAAAGTGGATTATATTTCACTCTTTACATTTACCAATAGTAGACTGTGACATCGTGGGACTGTGACAAGTGGGAACTTCTATTTAGGGCTGTGCGATTCAGATTGTAGATATACATACAGCAATATTAGCATAGCTCTCAATGCGATGCAAACTGTGAAGCAGCAGTGTAAACAGAGGAGGTGGCAGAAGAACACTACACCTAACGAGGAAGGAAGAGGGCTTTATCCACGGGTGAGGAGCTAAAAAGTGGAAGGGATGGAATAATGTTGCGCAGATAATTGGATTAGCCTTGTGTAAATGTCTTTCCTGTGTGTGTGTGTGTGTGTGTGTGTGTGTGTGTGTGTGTGTGTGTGTGTGTGTGTGTGTGTGTGTGTGTGTGTGTGTGTATAAACTCTTACTATTTTTGAATTTTTCTTTGTATATACTATAGTGAAATCCTTGTTTGTTTCTCAGCTGGACAGGATCATCTTCTGTGTCTTCCTGCCTGCAGACAAAGACTTGTACCTGGACAACCTCCCGCTGTACTTCCCTGCTGGTGAGCGCTCATACTTTCAGTTCAACTCAATTTAGTTCCAGCAGCAGCCAGAGTGCTGCGATGAACAGCACATTAACGTGACTGGTATAACTATGAAACCAATAGGAGAGTCATAACCTCACATGTTTAATTACAGTATTTTCATTGTAATTCTTGTAATCTATATGTTTGTTTTTCATATTCCGACCAATGAGCAGTCAAGTGGTAATTGAACCAAGCGGTAACAGCATGGTGTGCGGTGCAAGATTCTGGGATGAATAGTTATCAATGCATTTAAACCAAGGCTGTACAGACTGCACTTTTCCACTCAATTGATTTAACACAAAATCTTTGAAACTTTGAATCAAAATTGGAGCAAAGACTTATATTGGCAGACCAAAGTATTTCCATTTTCAAGCTTTCATTCCAGTTTAAAATCAAAGTAACATTCACTAAGACACATATTTGTTAAATACTACAATACTGAGAGAATTATTGGCATGCATTATTACTCAGAGGTTTATATAAGTATTTTTAAAAATGTAGCTTTAAACCTTTGCTTGTTCCGAAAGCTTCTTAAATTACTACAGTATGCTAAAATTCTGACCCATTCCTCCAGAACCGATGTAACTGAGTCGAGCTTAGCAAGGGCCATCATCAAACTCATAAATATCCTAATAAATCACAGTGTGTAATTGATTTTGTTTGCATGGAAAAGTTTGCTTTTCAGATGTTTTTTCTGACCTGGCTGAATAGTTTCTATGTGTTGCAACCAAACGTACTGTCGTCCATGCACTACTTCTTGAAAAATGTGTGAGAAAGGAAAGCCTGTTTAAAACAAATATCATATTTAACAGGATTCAAAGTACTCTATAATTGGCTTGTTCCATCATTGCAGAGTGACCTGAGTGGCTGATTAAAGTTTACTAAATACGTAAATTTTGATGTGGCCCACAGCTTTGACATGATGACTTTGGCCATTCGTTTTGATTACAGTTGTGATTGATAGTGTTATAATGCCAAGCAGTCTGGGCCTCTATGCATGATCAGTCATTCACTCAATTATTCAAATTAGCTTTGGTATTACAACTGCTGCTTTAACCTCTAATGTCTTGTTTCACCACAGCGATAAATCAAACTCACCGCTCACTTAAAGGTTTTTGAAGATGTAGCACTGGACTATCTCATAATAGATTTACCTGCTTTCTATTATTGCCTTGGGCCTCCCAAATAATTTATCTCGTAATCTTTTTTTGGATTAAAAATGTTGGCCATGCAAACAGCAGGAGCCCTGTTCTGTGGTTGTAACAAGTGCAGAAAGTGCACGTAATAATTAATCTGTAAATGACATACATGCGTAAGTATAATCTACTAATACAGTTCAGAGGTGGGGGGTGTTCAACTAATAACAAAATGGATAATAATTGTATTATAATAATGATTATCAAAAATAATTACGCTTGGTTTTGCATTACCCTTTTTTAGACATTTGGATATGTTTTTAAGAGAGAGTAGAACTTGAGAAAAAAAGATACGTGACAGACTTAGTTTTTAATGGGTTTGTTTAATGAAAGTTATTGTCTTGCAATTGTAATTCAGATTTGAGACCCAAACACTAATATAATGTAATGGTAAAGGTGCACTTTATTAATCCCGGTGGGCAATTCATCCTGTGCATTTGACCCATCCTGATGCCGCTAAGGCTTACGTCAGGAGCTGTGGTCGCCGTAGTAACAGCGCCCAGGAACCCATCTCTAGATGTTGATGCTCGGCTTGGTCAGGACTACTGGAGCTGGAGGATTTAACCTAGTGTGCATGTTTTTTAGTGGTAGGGGAAATACAGAGTACCCGGAGGAAACCTCCGCAAGCACGGGGAGAACATGCAAACTCAACTCAGAAAGACCCTTTTCCGACCGGGATTCGAACCCAGGACCTTCTTGCTGAGAGGCGAGAGTGCAATCCACCGTGCCATCATATTTGTAGTTAATTCCCTATTATTTTCTAACTTACTAATTTAACTAAAAATTAGTATGGTCATTCTTTTGAAGTAAGGCAAAGCAAGGTTATTTGTAAATCACAGTTAACACACGAGGCTCATAGTGGCATACAAGGCAATCATAAATAATCATAAGATGTTAAAAAAGAGTGAAGAGAAGACTTTTTCCAGAGTTTAGCTGCATAAATCTGAAACGCTGACTCCCCATGTTTAGTCCTGACTCTGGGCACCAGCAGGAGGCCAGTCCCTCTGCTCCTCAGAGTCTGAGTTGGTTCATATGGCACCAACATGTCACAGATGTAGTTTGGCATGAGAAACTTGTACACAAACAGAGCTCTATTCTCAAAGTCTATTCTCTGAGCCACAGGAAGTCAGGACTGAGGACTCGGCTCGATGTCGACAATGATAGTGTATATTTTTATTGTAAACCATTATGCAATTTAATAGCAACCTTTATTGTTGGTAACTTGTACATATCTTAAAATAATCTATTTGGCTTCTTGGTTTAATTCTTTTAATGGAATATTAGCTCATTATTTAGATTGTTAGCATAAACAGTAGAGCAAAGATTAACAGGGTCCATGCTAGGTCCTCTTATCTCTTCAAGTCTTAATAAGCTTAATTAGACACGCTTAAATTTAGTTTCCAGGCCAGAGCAACCAGACCATAATTATATAATACGGATATCATTAAATTAAGTGGATACCATTTTATTTTTTGCACAAATGAGGCCTCTTAATTGTGTGCTTTCAGAGTCCCTTTGAAATCCAAAAGCAGAACCAACAGCATGCTTGAATTCATTGCTCGATTGAGACATAGCAAGACAAGGAATTCTATTTATTTTGTGAAATTCTGCCACTTATTGTTTTCAAACAGCCAAAACATTTTGCTCATGGCTTTCCACACATTTTCAGCTTGTTTTAACTAACAAGCCCATTACTGCCAATACTTTTTACTTAGTGGGAGACTCCCATAAGTTGACTCAAAGTGGTCACATGATGTTCCTGTAATGTCTTATCAACTGTTTTGGCCATTGTCGTCTACCACCAGACAACAGCCCACTGTAAAAGAGAGAACCACATAATGGATTGGGACAAAGACAATATCATAGGGTCTGAGGAAAACAAACACTGACGCTGGATCAAAGAGGCCATAGAAACACGGAAACATGCTCCAAGGACTATAAACTGGGACAAGGGGGCTTTGTTACTCTCACACATCTGAGATTCAGGGACGCTGCTGTCCTGCCGTTGGTGGTAGCAACAAGCGGTGTAAAACAGTTATGCCCCTGGTCACAGCCGGAACTCGTTAGATGTTACTGGTCACAGGAACATCCCTCTGAGAAGGGTCAAAACTGCAAATCATCGGAAATATTCAATGGTAATGAAACAATCAATCATTGAATCAAGACCAAATGAACCTTGTTGGACTTTTATGGCAGATAGAAACTGGGGTACCTGACTTTTTTCTCAATCACTTTTGCTTGTCCCAACAGAAAAGGTCTTGTGGAAATGTGAACAAATCAGAGCCCAACCTGCTGTTTTCACTCTATTAGAAAACATTTTGTATTTTCTATAATTGTTATAAAGAGTCACTGTTTGTCCCTTTGGGCTTAGAGTTGGCCGAGTGAGGCAGGTCCTACATTTCTTTCTGATGTAAAGATGTGATAGAGGCCATAAAATACATGCATGTGAAAACTATAGTGATAGAAGCAGGGACTCGTTAGATGGAATTTAAATAGTTAAATAATTAAATAGTTCTATTTTTGTGGTTTGAGGGTTAGATACCTCAGCTTTAAGATTCAGATTAAAAGAGCCTTTATTCGTCCCACGGTGGGGAAATTTCATTAACTGGCAGTGGCAAAGTGTTGGCTGTGATATATTGATTCAAGTCTATTGAAAATATTTGGAATGAATGTTTTTGGACCGTTCTTGCATGGGCTTGAAGTGACTGATCCTGGATAATGTGCCTTCAAAGCCACCAGACGCCAACGTGCCATCACTCAGAACATGTCCAGGTTCAAATGTTTCTTGAAAATGTTTCTCTTTGTGCTCCCACAGATGCTGCTGTCAGGAGTAAACTGTGAGCTGGTGGATTTGTCACGCTTGGTTGCTGTGGATACAGGACTCCAGCTCATCCCACTGTTTCTCTTCATTGTTGACGCGCTTCAGACCACGCAGTTCCTATTACCACTGTGTGATTGTGACTAGTTAGCCAGTAAACCGAATTCTAACTGTGTTTTCATCATTGTAGCCACTAGGAGAACTTGTGTTGGAAGACAAAGATAGCAGCATTTATTATGTCAAAATGTTAAAAACCTTCTGATTTTAGTCAATAATAGGCCTGCTCTGTTTCATGTGATTTTCTAGACCGAAGCTTTAATGCCCATTTCAATCACTATTTGGTTAAAAAAGAATAGTTTGACTACTCCGCTGATTGGGAGGAAAAATCACAGCTAACTCATGACTGACAGCTCCAGTTGCTACGTTTCATTGTTGCTGATGATATTGTCTTTAATGGCTTGATGTAACGTTTGATAATAATTGTTTGATCTTTGGATTTCTGAATATCTAGGAGCACTGCCATTGCTTTCATGACAACAAGAAATAAAGCATTATATTAGTGCAGCATTTAACCAGGAATCCAAAACCCATTTTGTTTTGGTTTATGTTGGCGACATCGTGACATCTCCATGGGTCCATAGTGGAAGTCGTACACTGCCCATGGTGTATTTGCTCGTTAGTTTGTTTGTTTGCAATGTACTGTTTGTTTTGGGAGGTTTTGGACAACGTTTTCAGGAAACATTGTGATGGCTCAATGTACAACTGATTACATTGTGGAGGTTTTTCAAAAGCAAACCAGAAGATTAAACATGCAACAACAAAAAAGTGAATAACCTCAGTTCTGGCCTCAGTCCTAAAGCTTCAGTCCTGGCCCAGTCCCTTCTGGTCTCTGTAGAGCTGTAGACCAGGACCAGCAGTGATCAGGAGATGGATGGACTTGTAGAGGAGCAGTGTCTTGGTCAATATGTTGTTGGAACTCTCCTCGTCTACTGTGGAGAGCTCCAATGACCAAAAATGTCATGACCCAGTGTCAACAAGACAATGAGAGAGGGGACTTCCACCTTGTAGCCACCATCCTTTTCACCACCGTGAGTTTTGCCAGATTTGGATCATTTTTAAGGAATGGAACTGCCCCAAGTTCTAGCTTAATATATTATATTCATACATATATCACAAAATTAGCAAAGTACTACAACATTTTGCAGTAGTATTTCTTTTAAGACACTATTTTTTTAAAGTATTATGACAAAAAACAAGATATAAAATACAGTATAAAGTGCACAGTTTTAAATTTGGTTGCTCAGCACACACACCCTCACCAGACTAGACACAAAGTCAAACATTCTCTGACACCTCTCCCCCATCACTTGCTCCGCCTCCATGTACAGTGTGGTGACAGTTTTTGGAGTAATTACATTAAAACCAGCCGCAGCAAATACACGGACGTCAAAGGCCTTTTATCAATGCAGACAACCTTCTGACGCCATGCTGAGCTTTGTGAAGGTCCCTGCTGTCTGTCACACCCTTGTGTCTTTCCGTCTTGCATCTGTATGACCTGCATTTCCACCATTGTCTGTCTGTTCACACCCCATGCCACTGCCACCACAGGGGATAGCGCCGGCGCTTCCTGTGCGCCTCCTCACCGGTGGCCCCCTCCGCTCCGTTGTGGGCGTGACTATCTTTGGTGTGTGTCTTGTATACAGGAAGCTCGGGGCTCTGGCCCCCAGAGCTGGGACATGCTGCTTTTGGAGTGTATGTGCTGGCTCTCCGCACTGTGCGTTAACAATAAACATACGCTTTTGATCAGACAAAGGACCTTTGAGTTTCCTCCTTCATGGGGTATATAATTCTATAACAATTTGGCGTTGCTGACATGTCTTGGCATGGATACTTTCGGCGGGGACGAGCGGCTTTGTTTGGCCGACCTGGATCACCAGCCTCTGTTCCTTTTTGGAGACAAAGGAGGGCGCGCTCGTCCCGCGCACGGAAGGAATCCTTTTGCCACACAAGACCAAAAAGAACCTAATCTGGTGAGTCTTGTCTTTTCATCTGCGTAACGAGCCCAGGGCAGCACTTAAGTGTACACGGGGATTTGTTTATTTATGTATTTTTGGGGTATTTCATTCATTGCCACAGCATAGTCTGTGTGCGGGATTTTTTGGGGGCTTTTTGTTCTAGATTGAAGCTAGCGGCTGCGCGTTAGTATCGCATTGTAAGCGACCCTGGAATCTCTGAGTGTCTTCAGCCAGAACCGCTCCGTTTTCAAGAACGCGCGCTCGCTGGTTGAACCAGCGGGGGGGGGAACGGAGCGCCCCAAAGTGGGTAGGAGCAGGGAGAGACTAAGCGGGTTAGGCCCATTGTTCGTACGAGAAAATGGGTAAAATCAATCTACAGATGCAAGCTGTGAAGTGCTTGCCTATGGTGCAGGTCATCTGCGTGATAATTTAGAAGAAGAAGAGGCGGAAACAGACACACGCTCAGGAAACCACAGAAGAAGAAGCGGAGGAAACAAATATGTGAGACACCGACAACTGCTTTGGAGCACAGAGAGAAACTGCTCCAAATCCCGTGACTGTTCTCCACGGAGGGGGCAGCGTGATATACCAAACGCACCCGCGGAAACCCGCTTGAAAGTTGTTCCCGCACCGCAAACAGAAGAAGCCATTGTGACCGGCACGTTTGGGTTATTCACCAACCCTCATGGACCACATGCTAACGCTCTGGGCTACCTGGGCCTCCTGCGGACTTTGCAAAACTTCCACAGCCCGGCGGAAAGACTGTGTGCTCGACATGGGTCGAAGGACTGTTACCGGAGGAGGCGTTAAAGGCAGAGGGCCTCTCAAGCTCACACGGGGCAGAGGACGGCAGAGGCGGGCACGGAGGAAACACGAGCGACTGACCAAACCTGGGTTCACATTCGTCACCAAAGCGACCGCTCATGTAAGTTGAACAACAACAAATTGCAATTGGCACTTTTTAGAGATAATTCATGCCCGTAATATACGCTAACAACCTGTGGTGTACAAGTTAAAATTCTGGATGACTCCGGGGCAACAAATTCTGTGCTAAAAGTGACAGCCTTTCTGTCTCCCCTAAAATGAGCGGCCGCTTCATATTCTAATTAGCAGCGTCGGAGAGACGACTAAAGAGCAATTTACGTCACCGCTAACGTGTTTTGATTCTCAGGGCAACCAGCTTAAACATTCTTTTCTATATTCCCCATTGTGCCCGGTTAATCTACTAGGCCGAGACCTTATGTGCAGACTCAATTAAAAATAGATAAATAAAAGGAGGCACCGGTCCCAAAAGTTAACTACCACTGGAAATTGACACCAAACCCTGAGATTGCTAAGTTATTAGCCACAACAAGTGGATAGTGACGCCCGCACAAAATTTGGAGGTCAACCACGCGAACGACCTAAGCTGCTCTCTCCGGTCGTTCCCAGACAATAACTTGGAGTTTGAAAATTCATGCAGTGTAGGGAAGATAGGCTAACGGAGTACGTTTATTGAGATAGGCACCACTATCTGTGCTACTTAATGAGTAACAAAAACATTTTTATCGTGAAACAAAGGTGAAGTATTAAAGTTTGAGACTAATTTACATTTTTAATGAATCCGACCTGGCTTTATTGAAAAAGAAAAAATAAGGAACATAAACATTTTTAAGGTGACAAGAGCTCAGTAGAGATATAGGGGACACAATCTGTGATAAGCCCGAAGTATAGACCACGTGGTAAACACTAAAGTTGGAAATGGATCCTTTTAGGAAAACTCTTTTAAAGCTCTGCAGGCTCTGAAAGTTGCAACAATAAGAAATAGCTCATGAGACAATTGGAATTGGACATGGAAAAATATAACAAAGTTAAAAGTACAGGCCTTCTGTGTTGTTATATGTTTGTGTGTGTTATATGTTTTGTGTATGTTATATGTTTGTGTGTCATGTCAAAGTACACCACGCTGACCTTAACAAACTCTGGACCAATACTAACGTGGGGATCGGCCTGTGATGTGACTGTGATATGAGTGTGATGTGTGAAATAAGGAGTGAAATGAGGAGTGCTGAACGGAGAATGGAATAACAAATGTGTCTGTAATGTTTTAATGTGATCATGGAATAATTCTTTTTTGTCAACAGCATACGGTGTAAGTACTAGAGATTCAAAGATAACGACCTTTATTAAACAGGTGTAAAAGTGAGAGTACTCTGGGATGAGTACTCTGAGAAAAGTACTCTGCGGAAAGTACTCGGAGATGAAATACCTCGCTGAAGATATTGGGAGTTCCTCCCTCTGCTGTTTGCCCTGACAGTGATTCGGTCCAACCGCAGTGAGCGGTCATTGGGCGGAGGACAACTTTGGTTTGTAAACTCACATTTAGGGGAGTATAAAATTAGAAACATACATTTTGTTGTTCTGTATTTGGCTACAGCCTCCGCCCTGATGCCACACACCACCTGTCAATGCAGTTATGTTTTGCCCAATTGGGAAAAAGATTGACAAGCGAAAGTGGGCATTTTTTGTGTTTTTTTTTTGTGTTCTGATATTTCTTTTTCAGATGAGAGATAAACTACCCCTGCTCCAGGGATGACAGTAGTATGGATCAGGAGGAAATGAGCCTCCACTTTGGCACAAAAGCCCACAATATGAATTGAGGACGATCCGGGAGAAAAGCAACTGGAGATGAACGGAACAGTCGGTACTTTTGCAGCCTCACTGAGGGCCACTGAGACCCACTGCTTACTTCTCAGCAAAACTCGATCCCGTGGCAGCAGGGTTGCCTCGCTGCCTGCGGGCTGTGGCTGCCGCTGAGAAAGCGGCCCTAGCATCACGTGACCTTGTGGGATACACTGAACTAACTTTGCTTGTGCCCCATGCTGTTTCCCTGATCCTGTTAGAGCAGAGGGCCTCTCGCCTTTCTGCGGCTCGTTGGCTGGGGTACAACACGGTGCTCTTTGAACTACGGTGAAGGAATGCACACAGCTGAACTCCTCCTCGCTGCTGCCCACGCCAGAGGAAGGGGA